CTAAAAATACTGTCTAAAATCTCGACCATACCCCTTATGTCTAAAGGTTACAAACTGATCAGGAGATAAAACTTGGCTTCCATTTCATATTGTACCCTGAAAGCTAGCTTGTCTGTTAGATAAGAATAAGTGATTGTTGTAGTAGCATATTCTTACTGTGCGTTAGTTCAGTCAGTATCCCTTCTCTCTGTCAACTGGAGTATGTCCCAATAGGCTCACATAGTAGTTAGGTTTTTTTCCTTGGATTAGAAATCTCTAATTTGGAACACTTAATTAATTCTGTCAATGCAAACCACATTTAACTCTGATGGCATTTCAGTTCATTGTCTGATCCTGTTACCACTTTCTCAGACTTCAAGTTGATACTCTACATGAAAAAGTGAGTCTTGTTTCCTGAGTTTTGTTGGATTTATCCGAAGCCTCTTCATGCTGCTACACTGTTTCTTTCAACGCGGTGGAGTTACCATACTTGATTATTTTTACTTTTTCAATTTTTAGCAGCAGTTCTGCTGAAGAGTAATTCTGCAATTTACTTAGGGTTCCAAACAGACAGATGTGTAAGACAAAGAGCAGATATTTTCATAAAGCAAGGATGATAACTCTCACCAAAATGTTTGTAACTGTAGACAATAAATATTTCAATAACATTCTGTTCTGTTTTTCTGTCTCCAGCTGAGTGTGGCTTTCCCAGTAATATTCTGTATATGCACAGTATTTTTGGTGGTAGTGCCGCTCTACAGTGACACTATAAATTCACTGATTGGAATTGCCATTGCTTTATCTGGAATTCCAGTCTTTTTCTTGGGAGTCTATTTACCTGCATCAAGGAGACCTCAGTTTATCAATAAGATTTTAGGTAAGTTTCTTTGTAGATGGAAATATTAGAAAGAGGAAAATTAAATAAGTTTGGCTGTACCCACTCCCCAGCAGGATGAGGGAGAGCATAGGAAGAACAGAGGTGAGAAGACTTGTTGGTCAAGATGAAGACAGCTTAGTAAATGAAGGAAAGAGGGGAAAAAACCTGCTGCTGCAAAGGCGATCCCGTGCCATCTCCCACAACAGACCAGTGCATGGGCAGTCTCCAGGCAACGGCCACCTCGCACATGCCCACTCTTCTTTCTCTGCATGTTTTTATTGCTGAGTGTGACATTACATGACAGGAAATACCCCTTTGCCTGGTTTGGGTCAGCTGTTCTGGCTCTCTCCCCTCCCAACTTCCTGCTCATCCTCATGCTGCTGGTTGTGAGAGGGCAGAGTGAGAAGGGAAAAACAAAAAAAAAGACTTGGTAGCATGCAAACACCGTTCAGCAATAGCTAAATCACTGGTGTGTTACCAACCCTGTTTGAGCCACAAATCCAAAACACACCACCCTGCGGGCTGCTAGGGAGAGTGTTAACTGCATCCCAGGCAGTCTCAGTGAAGGGGCATACCGATTTTTATACGTAGGTTTTGTATTTACTGCATATTTAAAAGACCATCCACTTTCTACAGATTCTGTCTTTGGTGTTTATAGATTTCTCTTTAATCAAGAACATGAAAAGTCTTTTTCTTAAGACATGTTAACTACTGTGAAAGGGCTGGATATTCTTGGTAATGCAAGCTGTCCTGCTTTACTGAATCAGTTCTTCGAAGATGGATAAATTTTATGTCAGTCACAGATGGGATTTTGCCTTCTGTTGAATTGCTGCAGTTAAGTTATAAATTTAATTCCAGCAGTGCACTGTTGTCATTGGTACTATGTGAGAAAACCATGATGAGGGATGTGGAAAGGGAGGTTTATAGCGAAACCTCAGAATTCAGCAGGTTGTGGTGCTGCAGCACATAGTGAATATGTAAATACTCAGTAATCTTGTCACTTTCCTGTGTGCTATTTCTTTAATTTTTTTTCTACACTCTTAAAAAGACATTTTACTTTAGTTTTGTGGCAGGATGCCTCAGAAAAAAAATCAGGTATCAACAGAACAGTTTTAAACATTATCAATTTTAAAAAATGGAGTGGAAGACACTTTTTGTATTAAATTCTATCATTTGTTTTCCTTAAGAGAAGTGAGGGAGCATTTTTGGCAACTAGCTTTCATTAGATGCATGTTGTGTAATTAGAGCTGAGATACATGGCTAATCTTCTGATCTATCTCCAATTTCCTGTGCAGGTGCAGTCACACGATATATGCAGCTGCTCTGTTACTGTGTTTTAACAGAGGTGGACCCAAACGAGGAAAAGAAGTTAGAAATCAAATCCAACTAAAGTTTTAAAGCCATTACAAGAAACAAGAGGGAGGATAAAGCAATTTTGACAACAAAAGGGAAGAGATGGTACTGCAAAAATGAAGAAAACGGTTTCCAGTGGTCTTTCAGAAACGCTGAAAATGTACTTGGCTGTGGTTGGATTCCCACCTAGATCACGATGTGTCACCCTTCTAAACTGTGGCATATTTTCAGGGCATGCTTTCATTGGATAATGATTACCTGCTCATTTTGGACACACGAGCTATGCGTTGGTACTGTTCCTTCTTCAGAATTGGTATTAAAATGGTAAGAGCTAATGGATCAAATTAGATTTCTGCCGAACCAGGCAGTGAAGTAATGCATTAAGTTAGACTGAAAACCACTTTGACTCCAAAGACCAGAAGTCATTTCCAGCTTGATTCTGATGGATGTTTGCATGAAATGATTTGCTGTGCTATCTCGGTTCTTATCCCAGAAGACAACTGGTCACAACAACCTACCTAATCTGTCATTGCTAGCAGAAAAATGAATAAAGTTATGCTATGTTATTTAAAGACTGAACCAACCTTTCCTCCTTAAAGATAAGTATTTTATTCCTTATACTATGTGGAAATGTGGTACTAGACCGTGGCAAGGATTTAATCAACAAAGCACCCTGGCAATGAAGATTTGATTAAGGTTTAATGATTCTTTCCTGTTAGCTTGTTGGCACTTGGTCAACTTCTGACGGGCTTTATGAATCTTGCAAAATTAAAATGTTCACTTTGAGGCTTGTAAGCATTTGTTTCTGAACTGTTTCGGTGAACAGACACTAACAGTGTTACTTCAGCAGTCAGAAAATTCCCCTTCTAAGTTTCAGTGCTGTTCACTAGAAAATGACCATTCCAAAAACTTGTAGAACAAACCACTTTTGCTATAGAAGAAAAAGTGTTCTGTGGCAGCAACTATATCTTGAAAACTAAGTAGCAGGGAGACAAAACAGGGATAAAAAGAGAAATAAAAAGTAGTATTGCAGTAGAGACCAATGCTAATTGGTAGTATTTGTAATTCCAAAGCCAAAAACTTAACATCAGGACACTTCAATTCTGAATTTTGGTGCTGCAAAAGGTAATATGAAGCCAGCGTGTTTGGCTGGCAGAGTGAGATATGCTTCAAAAGCATACCTGGAATTTCTATCTTAGTTCAGAATGTTTACCTCAGTTGACCTGAGTTTATTCACATGTGCAGGGTTTTTTTTTTCTGTGTTTAAGTTGAATTCAATCTTGTAATCACCCAATTATGGCTGAAGCAATGGACGCCTTAAAGGATGCACCAGATTTACAATAAGCCTCTTGAATAACAGTGAGAGTATTTGTATTCTTGCATTGATTCCCTGACCAAAGTTATCTTAAAAATCTGTAGATAATGGCAAATAGTAGTACACAGTGAAGACTAACCTAAAATCGAATCTTGAGCTACCTTTGTGAAGCCGCATTGGGATCTAAGATAGTAAATTCTAGCTGAGGAACTTTGTGCACACTTGGCATGTAAACATGTAGAGCCTTTCCAGTCTTTAACAAAAATTAGCATTTTTAATTAGCTTTTTAATCTTGCATCTGATTAGATACTGAATTCATTCTAAGTTGAGACATCTGTCCAGTGGGCAAGCATAATTTTAATATAGGCTAGGGTTGTGGCATAGGTTAACAGAGACATTAACCTTTCTGTGAAACCGAGGAAGAACTATTTTGCCTCCACTACCCTGACATCACCAGCAAGACCTAAGTAGCCTAATGTCACCGCTGCAACCCACAGCTCAAGAATGACATTGCTCTAACAACCTAATACCTATTTTCTTACGGACCCAAGCAGGAGTGCTGAATTACTTTGTGTGTCCAAATAGGGAAGATTAAATTGTTTTAAAGGTGTATGAATGCAAGTTAAAATGCCGACGTGGCTTCAGCTGTACCAACTTTAGACAAGGAAAGAAAACTTAAGTCAAAAATTCTTTATTTATAACTTAAATGTACATACATTGTTCTGCTCCAGTAGTAAAATCACTAGAGAGAGATCCAGCAATAAAAGGGACAGGTCAAGGCATTTCATATGACGAAACACTTGTAAAGAAAATAACTCAAAACTTAAGAACAGATACACCAGAAAGCAGTAGGACAGGGTGCTTTTTTTCAGGACTGCCGCTTGCCAGCGTGGCAGACATGCCGATCTTCTTGTGAAACCTGACCAGAAGGGCTGTTGGGACACGTACAAATGCTTGGGCATGCAGGTGGTGTTGTTTTCTTTTTTAAATCCTTCAAAATCTCAGCATCACAGAAAGGGCAAAACAATCAGTTTTGAAGCATACAGTATCTTTTGCTTGGAACAAAAATCTGTATTGTCAAGTGGCCATGCTCACACTCATCTGTTTACTATCTACCAGCTCAAATTGGTTGTTCGGATAATGACAGCTCAGATAGTAAAAGGTTTTAGCATTTACTGGAATCCCAATCTAGTATCTAATATTGAAGCTTAGTCAGTATTTGGGTGAACCATGCTAGTCACCAAGTTTCAGAAGGCCAAACAGATAAAATTTAGCTTAAACCTCATCCATATAAAGGCTGGTTTCCTACTACCCCAGTGAGCACAACTTGCACTGGAAACTGGTTTTCCAGGGTATTTTCATGGGTTTTATTTTTGTTTACTTAGTTCAGCGTTATTGTGAATAGCCATCAGCAGCTGTCTGGATTTTCAATTCTACTGCAAAAGTAGAATTTCATCTTCAAAAAAAGGTTGTTAGTCAGAATCCAAATCCTGGATCTCCATCATATCCAAATTCCTGTAAAACCTCCTTTCGGTATTTGTTCCATTGGTCCTCATCACTGAAGCTCTCTTCAGAGTCTAAAGAAAGAGCATCAACACCTGAGATTATTCCTTCCTTTTAGTTAAACAATTAGCTTAATCAGACTCTCTCACACTTCTTAAATAACTAACGAAGTCTGAACAACTGCTCTGTTTGGTGAGGTTTCAATTATGCTTGGAGTGCAGTGGGATAGGGAGGTAAGAAAGCAGAGGCAAAGTTTCACAAGCACCAGTTGGAACCAAGTCATCGATTCCTTCTCCAAACAAGCAATCCTTTGCAATTGCGGTGGCCTGAAATGGAGTTCTTAATTTTGACTTTTCAAAAACACTAAAATCCCTTATTCTTCTAAGAATGTTTCTTCTTGAAGCAAATTTAACCCATTATAACAACAAAACACTGCCCAGCAGTGCTCAGTCAGCTGTTTAGAGACCTCATGTTAAAAGGGTGGGATTTTTATGCGCACTGCATGAAAGCAAACAGTATTTACGACGGCCATACCTTTTTCTCCATCACCATCTTCCTCAAATAAGAATTCATCTTCATCAGGATAATCATTACGCCAGTTATTTTCATCATTTTCATCATCTTCATCTTCCTCTAACTCCTCTGGAACATAATCATCATCTACCTGCATGTCAACACGAAACATAACTCACTATAAATACACACACTCACCATTAAGCAGTTTTTCATCCACCTGTACAATACTTTACAGCTCAAAGAGCCAAGATACTTATCTCCTGCATGCATAAATAATTCTGCAGTTGCACAAAGCACACTGCAGAAAAAACTGTGTTGTCAGTATATTCACCATAACACAGCAATCTGCTTTAGGTGAAAAATCAGTTAAGTTATGCATTTACATGTTGCACTTCAGCATGCTAAGGTTAATGTCTAAATTAATCCTACTCACTTCAGCAACAGCGTAACAGATCAAGGAAAAAAAGAAGCAGCTTCAGGTTCCCGATATGCAAGTCTACTTATTGATGACTGTTTAAAATGAAAGACTGAAGCTGGCATTTAACTTCCTAACTCCAGTCACCAAAAGGCAACTCTATTACAAGAAAATCGCTCATATTGAGAGAAAATCAAGTCCTCAAATATTAAAAAAGTTGTGTTCCCGCCATTGCTCCTTTTGTCACTCAACCTTATTTAAAACATCTCAATAGCTTCTAATGATACAACTTAAGCATGTTTATTTGTGACCTCTCTTTTTAAGAAAGATCTGTTTTCCCACACCCTTACCAGTTGATACTCTTCTCTGTAAGGCTCTACAGAAAGGATGTTTTGGATCCAACCAGGGGCGGATGTTTCCATATAGTAGATGTCATAAACATACTCATCTTCTTTCTCTTGGTGTTCTTTTTTACCATCTTCAGAAACATGTAAACGCTCACGGATCATCTCTACTGCATTGCAAAGAATCACATCTGGATCAGTCTTCCGCTGAGAAAAAAAAAATTTAAAAATGTATATTTTCCATGCACACAAATTCTTAGCTACAGCCAACGGTTTTCTTTGTAGACTGTAGCCAACAGCTAACAAAGAATGACATTCTGAAATCTTAGACTGAAACAGTTCTCCAATTACTGTAGCACTGTGCAGCTACATCTTGTTTCAAATAATAGGAGGAAACTTCTGAGACAAGTTTACTAGAAACTACTGAAGGGGATATGACTAATCCCACAGACCTGCTCATCTGTTTCTGATGACTTGTTGGTTGAAAAGACAAGTTTTAAGACAGCCTGTGCTTTGTGGAGCATTACACTTGCAACACTGCAGGAAAGATGTGCATGCAGTAGCATGGATAATAGGCAAGCAGTGTGCAGGAGAAACAATGTGACAGATAAACAGAGAAAGGCTGACAGGCCCTAAAGATATGCTATTTATTTCCTCTCTTTCCTCACTTCAACATTAACGTCAAAGAAATTTCATTTTGCTTTCTCCTTCCTAATAAATTATTTCCAATGTATTTGCTTTAGTGACCTGCACATGACTGTCTACAGGCAGGTTTTTGCTGCCAATTTTTCTCTGCCTGAGCTTCTCAGAAGATTTTGTCCAACTCACAGCGGTGTACCCTGAACTGCTTAAGTACTATCTTTTTTAACAGTTATCTTTTTTAACATTAAGTATTTCAGTCTTCCTCAGAGTTGTCACAGGCTGTATAAGCAAAGCATCCACATACACTTACGTACAGTGAAGGAGCTACTGAAGAAAGCATATACAGCCCTCTTGCCTTTTTTCCCCTGTACAGTTGCAAGTATCTAATATAAAACTTTCCTAACACTCTGTATGAAGGGCCACCCTACACAGATGGCAGAGCTTCTTCATACTTAAAACCATGCTAGTATTGAGCAGATATTCCTCCAGATGAAACCATACTTAACTCATAATACCAATGGAGACAGGACATCGGAGCTTAAGCCGCCTGTCAAACATCCAGAGTTCTGCTAAAAACAAAATTACAATAAAACCTTATGTTGGAATTATGAGAAGGGAACACTCCCTGTAAAATAAGCCAACTTGCAAATATCTAGTTAAAAGCTCCTATTAAATAGTGGATACTTACAATGCAAAAACCCTTTCACAGCAGTCAGTGTGCCCCCATGTACCAGTCAACAGTGATATCAAAGTACCTTGAGTACGCTACGTTTGCTGACCTGTGGGTTTGCAGCAGCAACACCCATCATCGCCTCGTCTTGTTCAATATCAAACAACTGGAATTTCCCACAGCAGTCCAAACTCTTATCGACAGCACCGCTCTCCTTTTGCGAAGCATATTCTGTTGCTTCAGAGTCTGTTCTGTCAGCATCAATCGATGCCTCGCCATTTGTGACAGATGCACCTGTCTCAGTGCAGTTCGGTCGATGGCTGGCTACTACACGATAACGGTTTTCCTTCCTTTTCACTTGCTTGGAAGTGCGGAGTTCCTGAGTGATTCGCTGAGTGCTTCCTAAAGAGGGTCGCAGACTCTGAGCTGCTTTGTCACGAGTGATCACCTCCTTTACATATTTCTGAACTGGCTCATTCTGGGCAGAGGAACAAAAGGACAAATGTAATGACATCATCAACACAGTCAGCCATGCTCCTTCCCAGAAGTGATTAATAATGACTGTTAGAGGTGCTTCCGATTTCAGGACTGCAGTACTGACGGGCACCACGTTCGAGTAACTTCCACCACTGCTTTAAGCAACATAATTACCATAATTTTCCCTGGATATTGGGAACAGAATAGGAGATACTTGTAAATTGTAAGACTGTTTCAATCTGGTTTTTAAACAATATATGCCATACAGAGTAACCCCCTCAAGCAAAAAAAACACATGCCTTTGGAAAACTGTGACAGTCCTAAACATAATATCCTTCACAGTCTCCTATAAAGCCCAGTTCCCAGGAAAGCTCAGTTTTATTCAGCATAAAAGGCCGTACAGTGGACAGAAGTTTTTAGCCTTGTAGCACTGAGGTTCAGCACTCCGACAGCTGAAATTCAGGCTTCCCTTTTTGACTATTCCGTATGTGAGGAGCAGCCTA